AGGCTCTGAGTTGTCAGCACAGAGCCTGACGCAGGGCTTGAATCCATGAACTGGGAGATCATGGCCTGAGCTGAAGTTGCGTACTTAACTAACTGAAGCACCCAGGCGCCCCTACAAGGCAATGGTTTTAAGCAACATAATCTCTTAACTTGAATTTCTAGGTTCTAAGCCTCTGGCAGACATTAGTGAGACCCTAAGTGGTTTTCAATTAAAATTAACCAAGCCAGATGATAAGTGTAGTCTGAATTGAGTAACCATGGAGGTGTTTTTAGTGCTGATATTCTATTACAATAGTGAAAGTTGAGATTTTGCTATTTCTGGGAAGTCAGCTTTAGCAGGCATGGGAAACTTTAAAAAAGAATAGAAAAACTGTGTGCCAGTTAGTGGTAAAAACAGTATCAAAATGAATTTTGTCCCATGCTGTTTCCTAATTCTGGGTGACTTCACTCTTAGGATTTATGGTTCTAAGATTTCATTTCTTTTTGTTTATCTGTTGCATATGGTTTTTAGCAAAGCTTTTTCTGACCAAGGAACCATGGTGGCTTTGGGGGCAACTTGGTTTCCTCTGAATGAGCTGGAAGGATGTATGTGACCCAAGCAACAGTTCTAATGTACAAACGAAGTGAAAGCTTTAGGCTTTGGTGTTTCTGATGGCACAAATGCAAGATTCATTCATTCCAGTTGCCTTGTCAAAGTAGCATTCAAGGGGCGCCTGGGTGGCGCAGTCGGTTAAGCGTCCGACTTCAGCCAGGTCACCATCTCGCGGTCCATGAGTTCGAGCCCCGCGTCAGGCTCTGGGCTGATGGCTCAGAGCCTGGAGACTGTTTCCGATTCTGTGTCTCCCTCTCTCTCTGCCCCTCCCCCATTCATGCTCTGTCTCTCTCTGTCCCAAAAATAAATAAACGTTGAAAAAAAAAATTAAAAAAAAAAGTCGCATTCAAATAACAAATGCTTGTGCAAGTCATCAGAGGTTTAATCAGATGTTTGCCTACTGAGTATGCCTTGGGCACTCTTCTGGAAGCTGGTGTTTAATGGTGAGTTAGATAGAGACCGTACTCTCATGGGGTTTGGAGAGGGGTATGTGGAGGAAACAAAACTAGCAAGTAAGAATTGCCATTTGGTGGTAATTTCCACAGTGGATACAATGCAGACTGATGTAAGGGACCGAAGGACTGTATTAGCCAGCTAGGCTAGGTATGCTGCGGTAACAATCTCAAAGTCTCAGTAACTTGCAACAGCAAAGATTTATGCCTTGCTTATGCCAAATGTCTGTGGGTTGGCAGAGTTCTGCTATGAATAATTGTCACCCTCAGCCCCAATCTCCGGTCAATGGAGTGCATATTATCTGGAATGCTGCTGGTCACTGTGGTAGAAGGAAAATCATGGTAAGCACACAGTGGCTCTTAAGGCTTCCACCTAGCAGTGACATATGTTACTTTCCACCCACACTTCATTTGCCAAAGCAAGTCATGTGGCCACAACTAACTTCCAGGGTGCAGAGAAGTGCAATCCTACTTTTACCCCAAAGGAGAGAGATGGGGTATTTGTGAACTGCTATGATTATTACAGCCTGGTTAGGAAAGATCTCTGAGAGGGTGAGGCCTGAAAGATGTGTGGGCAGCGGTGGTAAAATCAGGACATTCATCCCAGGCTGTGAGAAGCTCTAAGCAGGGAAGGAGCTTGGCATGTTGGAAGAACAGTAAAAAGGCCAACATCTGACCTTGGTAGTAGACCATGGTAGAAAAGGTGGGGTAAGAAGGCTGAGAAGTGTAATTGCCTCCTTACTGGTCTTCCCCCACTTTTGTTCCCTTAATTG